AGATACAGATAAATAAGTGTCCCTGAGCTTCCAAACTAGCAACCAGAATAACACAATCATCCTGAACCTCCAGTATAACAAAACAAAAATCAGAGAAAATCAAGTCAACTAACAATGTTCAAATAAAGAAGACACCGCAATACTATAATGTCTCAGAAACAGCAAAGAACTTCAAATGCACAAAAATACAGGGCAAGATAGATCTGCAAGTCATCAAAACACAGATCTAAAAACCGCTGTGGAAGAAGAAATGGTGTGTTAGTCTGGGTAGACTAGAGAAACAAATCCATAGAAACGCATGTGTGTATAAGAGAGTATTATATACAAGAGGAATTGAACATTGAGAAAACATCCCAGCCAGTCCAGTTCAAGTCCATAAGTCTGATATTAGCCCATATGTCTGATACCAATCTATGCAGTCCTCTTCAGATTCACGAAATGCATACAGTGATGCTGAATGCAGGACGATCACAGGCCAATGGGTAGAAAGTCTTTGGTTCCAGTGGCATTATAAACACCTCAACATTGGCGTGGGTCTCCACATGGCTTATCCAGCACCCAGGGCTTCATCAGGGTAGGTCCATGTGGCTTCTCCTCAGGGATATCTTGCAGGGAGTGAACCAAGAGTCTGTCCCGCCTCCAAGGAGGAAAAACCAGATTTCCTAGAATTCTCAGGAGAAAGCCATGCCCACATGCTTCATTGGCTATGACAGACTAAACTCCATCCCTGCACTCTTAATCCTCACAATGAAAAACGATTATATAACTATCACAAATGGTAATGGAATTACCCATTAAGTAATTTTTAATTATTATGTTTAGGGACCTTCAATCAAAAAATGAGATCAAGGGAAATATACCAAAACAAGGAACTCATAGGTAAAATAAATGACATATGACAAGAATTCCACAATAGAAAAAGACTCAAAAAAATCTAACAAGTATTGTTGAAGATCTGTTGGTAGCAATCTTCCTAGTATCAAAAGACAAGAAGATATCTACTCAAGAAGTTCAATGAAATCCAATAGGATATTCCTAAAAGAAAATCCTAAAGTTAATTGCAAATAAAAATTTAAAAACAAATGCAGACGCAGAATCCTGAGAGCATCTTGCAGAAAATGAAATGTTACTGACAAAAAGAACTAGTAAAACTAGACTCTGGTTTCTCACTAGAGAAATGCAGACAACAGATAAAGGAATGGTATATACAAAACCTGGAGGGGAAAATAGTGAATCAAGAAGTACATAGCCAGCAAAATTATCCCTTAAATAAAATGGTGAAATTGTCATTACCAGATAACTACTACAACAGTAATCAAAACAGAATTTGTAAATCCAG